GTTTAATTTATGACAATACAAGTAAGTCATTGACAAGAACACAATTTAGATCACAGAAACTCTTGGTCAACTTTTATACGATTATTTTACCAACGCAAATTAATATGAATTATTTGTCTCCAAATGTCATCTTCTCAATAAATTATCAACGTGAGCTTGGATGCTAGAGACTTGTTTGTCTTGGCTTGATACGTCTTTCCAGTCAGCGAATCTATGATAAGGTCGTCCATGCAATGCTGAAAAGGATCCAAGACTTGGACATTTTGATTTTTTTTTGAAAGCTTAATTATACAAAATATCCCTCAACTTTGAATCACTTGCACATAGTTTTCTTGACATTTCAATATTGAATCTCATTTTTCAGTGTTTATCTCTTTTGTCACGATATATCACCTATAATAAAATGCGACGCTTTAAGTGCATTAACCATAATATATTCCTTTTTGGAGTTGTGTGTATGATATTCTTAGTCAAATTCAGTAAGCAATTTAAACTGGGGACAATCAAAGGTTTTAAATATTGTATTCATATAAGTTTTAGATAAAATCAGACTCTTGTATCGTTTCTAGAGACATAACATCCTAACTCAAAATCTTAAAGTTCAAATTTATGGATGCCTCTCGATTTATATACATGTTTTATTAAACCTAATTTTATTCAATGTGAGTCTTTCCACATCAAGCAACCGCACTTGACACTACATATCTTCTCTACAAGTGGCCAGGAACAAAGGGATGGGGAAGTATTTGAGTAAAAGGATACCAAATCTTGACATAAAATTCCAAGTCTTGAGTTTATAGGTTCATCCACTTTTATATATATATTATTACATTAAATCAGATTCAATGTGCTTTAGGTCCATCATCGACCTGGGTTATATATAATATCAAAAAATTAAAACTTTTGAAATAATTTTTTAGTTGAGAGGTTTTGATCTATTCTTTTTTTTATTTTTGGAAGATTAGTCCGTGCCATGAATAATAAATAACGAGAAAATATTAAAAAACCCAACACGACAAAAATGAAATGAGATACTAAAAATTTGCCCAAAACAACGCCTTAAAGTTCTCTCATGTGCGAGTACAAAAATCATAGAAGCAACCCGTAACATCCGGACTTAGTTTGTTTTAATTTTAAATGCATTTGTTGCCGTGTAATATAATACTGAAATTTGGCTACGAATAAACGATCACATGCCTCTGACGAATTCCAGTGTTCATTAAACAATTAGAAAATTTTAAATTTTATCCATGCTTTGAACATGAAATAATGTAAGCCACAGCACGCGCCTTCTTTACTACTAAATCATTCATTATTTTTGGTGACATAAGTAGTAAAATATTACAGGGTAGGTTATTTGCATTGGATTTAAATATGACCACCATAGAAATATGCGAAGGTGCCTCTAGTTTTATCACTCGTCCTGATACAGTGTTCCCCAATATCCTAATTATTTATAGGGTCCATTGACTGCTAAGATCCATACGTTAATTTGGATATTTCCAAGAAAGTTTCATCGGTTTTTTTTTTTAAAGACAATTTTATGATTTAAAAAGAACAAGCATATAATTATTAGATCGTTACATTAAAGATGAAGTTTATGTTAATTAAATTATCATGACCTATTATTTCTCGAGACTCGAACCGTGAACGTTAAGAATAATGTTTGTCGCACTCAAGTTGCCAAAATAGTTACCCTTCACTTCAGCTCACCACGGTGGATGGCCACTGAGCCACTGTCGTCGTAATCGATGACCCAAACGTTATGGTTATTCTGCCAAGGATGCCTTGTAGTTGGACCAACCGGAACTGGAAAGACCTTGCTAGCTAGAGCAGTCGACGGGGAGGCTGGGTGCCATTCTGACTCCCAGATGCACAAACTCCGACAAACAATTCAACAAAATCTTAATTACGTGTAAAGACAATCTGTCAGGGGTTAACCGACGTTTTCATGTTTGTTAGTTGACGGGTGAAATTGAACTAATTTTAATAAAATAGAGACAAAATTGCATTACTCGATATTTTAGAGTACTATTGCGTGCATTTTGACCCTTCTTATTACGCTCATCATGCCTGTCATTTTTTTTAAAAAAAAAAGTTTACTTGGATCTTTAGAAACGCAGCCTCTTAATGAGGTGAACACAATTGTTTTCGTCAAAGCTGATAAGTTACTTATATATTAAAAAAAATTTCTTGTTGCTTATTTCCAGATTATGTGTGTGTTTAAGAAGGTTGCTTTTCGTAAAGTCATGTTCACACATTTATCTTAACATTTCAATCCTATGTCAGATTATAACTTTGGAGGTTCTGGTGTGGGCTGTTGAGCAGAGCAGATCGACTTTCTTCTCCTTCTTCACATCCGCTTGCCGTTGTTGCGTGGATCTGTTGTTTGTTGACTAGGTTGAGACGGCAGAAGCAATACATAAGATTCACTGGGAGATGCCTATTGGCATGAATGAAATAGACCTTGCCTCTGAGAGTGCTCAACAAATGGTGGAGCTGAAGCGACCGCTTCTCTCATCTCAGCGTACACATTTATCCTCCCATTACTTGCAACAACAACACGTACGCATCCTTTCTTATTTTCTTTAATTTCTTTGTGCTTGCAATTTTTAAGGGTGGTTCTGTTTAATTTCTCAATTATTAGACTTTTTAGCCTTATTTTGTTTCACTTTCAAAGACGCTTGTCAGAAAACATGCATCCTGTGCTTTGCATTCATCATGGCTTTTCTTAATTTCGTTGCATTCTCTGTAATTTTCTCGCACCTTGTTCGATTGCTTGTCATTACTACCCCATTATAGCTTCTTTTTTTTTTTTAAAACCTTTTTCGTCGTTATATGATATATCTATATATATCTAGGGTTAAGGTGCACCCAATACCCCCAAGTATTTTGTCAGGTGCACCCAGTGGTTTAAAGTAATTTATAGTGTAATTTTACCCTCAAAGTAATTAAAATGGTGCACCAGTATCCCATGCTAACAGATCTGTTAGTTTGACCGTTAAATTGATGAGTCAGCACAAGTTTGACCAGAAAATCTGATGTGGCATGTCTAATAAGCAGGTGATGTGGAATTTTTTTGGGGTTAAGGTGCATCCAGCACCCCCAAGTATTTTTCCAGGTACACCCAATGACCTAAAGTAATTTATGGTGCAATTTTGCCCTCAAAGTAATTAAAATGGTGCACCGGTATCCTATGCTAATAGATCTCTTACTTTGACTATGAAATTGATGAGTCAACACAAGTTTGACCAAAATAATCTGACCTGGCATGTCTAATAAGCAGGTGATGTGGAATTTTTTTCGTCTGCCACTGCTTTGTTTTCTCTGTTCAATAAATGCTCTCTTTGGCTCTTGGAATTTTTTTCAGAGTAAGAAATTTTTTCAGAGATACTCCTCTAGTCCTATTTATAGGGTAGAGAGAAAAGATATTTTTTGGTCCTATTTATAAGGCACTGAGAGAAATTTTTTGTATGGATGTACAAATTTACCCCTCATTTATTATTGTATTGACTTTGTTTATATGAGATATAATGTATATTAAATAGGGATAAAGTTGAAAAGTTATTAAAATTTAAATGAGAGTTAATGAAATTTAGGGTTTTCCTTGGTCTATGTGAAACATGCTGGAAGTGCCTTATAAATAAGACCAGAGGAGTAATACTCAGACAAAACAATGGAATTAACAAGAAAAGTCATGTCACCTGCTTATTAGACATGCTAGGTCAAATTATTTTAGTCAAACTTGTGCTGACTCATCAATTTCACAGTCAAAGTAATAGATCTGTTAGCATAGGATATCGGCGCACCATTTTAATTACTTTGAGGGTAAAATTGCACCATAAATTACTTTAGGCCACTGGGTGCACCTGGAAAAATACTTAGGGGTGCTGGATGCACCTTAACCCCGAAAAAATTTTCACATCACCTGCTTATTAGACATGCCACGTCAGATTTTCTGGTCAAACTTGTGCTGACTCATCAATTTAACGGTCAAACTAACAGATTTGTTAGCATGGGATACCGGTGCACCATTTTAATTACTTTGAGAGCAAAATTGCACCATAAATTACTTTAGGCCACTGGGTGCACCTGACAAAATACTTGAGGGTGCTGAGTGCACCTTAACCCATATATCTATTGAGTTTTGAACATAAAACAGCATCCTAAATCACACTTCATAGGTGAAAGATGAGGTGACTAAAGACATGGAAGAAATGATTCAAGATTGTGGCGATGGTCTTTTATTACCAGACTGTTGTATCTACAAGGTGCCTTTTACACTCCGTCATCTTAAAGAAGAGGCTTGCACTCCAAAATTTGTTTCAATTGGCCCATTTCATTATGGTAATGGGAGTCTGCAAGATATGCAAAAGCATAAAAAAAATATTCTTCAAAAGGTTTACTCAAAGAGCTGAGTCTAGTTTGGACGACTTGGTTCATTGTGTAAAACATTTAGAGCCAAAAGTCCGTGCTTCTTATTCAGGGACCGTAAACCTTACTGAACAAGAACTTGTGAAACTAACATTAATAGATGCTGGCTTCATCATTGAACTCTTCATCAAGTTGAAACATGAATGTCGTCAGTTTTGCAACGATGATGCTAAAGCTAAACTGTCACAGCCATGGTTACAAGCATATATACAAAAAGATTTGATTTTACTAGAGAATCAACTTCCATTCTTTGTTATTGAAGAGTTGTATGATAAAGCTTTTCCCCCTGCCCGTCGCGGTAGCCTCCCTTCACTTCTTAGGCTCACATATAAGTTCTTTCATTATTATAACAAACAAAAATTAGAGCCTAATGTTGATGTTAAGATAAAGCATTTTACAGATCTTATTAGATTGTTTTACTTGCCAATAAGCAAGCCTCAGCAGCATCGATTGTCAGAGTTTGGAAGCCATCGATTTTTATACAGTGCAAACGCATTACAAGAAGCAGGCATAAAGTTGAAGGCTAGTAGAACAAATGTTTATTAGACTTGAAATTATCAGGAGACATGCTTGAAATTCCAAAACTTTTGATGGAGGATAGCACTGAACTTTTGTTTCGCAATATGATAGCATTCGAACAGTGTCATTATCCTTTTGCTGCTTACATTAGTGACTATGCTCATGTATTGGATTGTCTAATAGACACTTATAAAGATGTTGATGTCCTTATTCACAACAAAATAGTCAGCAACAGTTTAGGTGATCCCAATAGTGTTGCTTCACTAGTTAATGGTCTTTCGGTAAATTTCATTCGAGTGACTTTCAATTCTCAATACTACGATATCTGCCAAAGGTTGAATGGCTACTGTGAAGATCCTTGGCGCAAGACGAAGGCCACTCTAAAAAGTGATTATGGCAACACTCCTTGGCATGCTGCGGCCTCGGTAGCTGGAATAACTCTTCTTATTCTCACAATTGTTCAAACCATATTTTCTGTCATTCAAGTTGTATTGGAGAATTAGACTTAAAGCTTATTGTATATTTTAATTTCAGTGTTCTATCATCTATACAGTGTTGGTTCTGTAATTTTATTAAGTCTTCATAGCCTGCCTCTAAGATATCTAAATAAAAAGCAAAACTCTCAAGTTCATGCACGTAAATATGGTAGGTTTGTGACAGCAACATGTAGCCTTATAATTATAATCCTTGTTTAAGCCATATTTTCTATCTTCCCATAGTAGAGTTGGTAAGGTAGATTTAAAGCTTGTGCCATAAAAGATCATTGGTTGAAAACTTTCATTTATAGGAAAAATGTCCATTGGTTGAGAAGTCCTTTCTAAAACGTGGCTAAGCCTTTTGATTTTCTCATGCAAATATTGCAATAATGTAAAGTGACGTTTGCATAAGGAAAAAATTGTTTAATGTATACACTTTTTTATATTCTTTTTAATTAAAAAACAAAAACAGATGAGTTTGAATGTCGGGAAAGCACGTTATGTAAATTGTTTAATCACGGGAATATGTCCTAAAAGTTTCAGGTCTTGCAAACCGCATGAGTATCGGCTCCGCTATTGTTGCAACCATGACCAAGGTCGGCCCAATCAGGTGGGCTTCAAACAACTTGACCCAGTGCCATTTTGGGCTCTAAACGCAATATGCAGCCACCAGTTTCCAACATTGTCTCCTCAAACCAACAGAGATTGAATATAATAGAAGCAGCTAGTCTCTCATAAAATAGCAAACTAATATTCGAATTCCTACTAGAAGAGGTATCCACATTAGTTCCTTATAGTATTTCAAATAGAATGATACCTCTTTTTGGTTAAAAAAAGAAAAAAAAAATTGTCTCCACATAAGTTCCAGATACAAGCAAACTTTGATACCGATCCCATCTTAACTCAAAACCTAGTTTGAGTCTGTGGATATATCCTTCCGTATTTACAATTTTGTACATTTATTTTATGAAAACCAATTCCATTCAGTGTGGGATTTCCCACATCAAGCTACACTCCTATAATCCTAAATATCTTCTTCACCAGTTGTGGTCTGTTATTTGACCACACAATTTTTGTACCGAAGACGCTACAATGAAGCCTATGGATTACAAAAACGAATGATTCTCAACGAGAAGCCTCTTTAAAGCAATTAAAATATGAGAATATTGTTGAAAATTGGGAATCACAAAATAATTTCAACAATACTTTTAAAAAGGGTCATGGTGCATCCACTAGCTAGGAGTATTTTCTTGGGTTTATCCAGCACCTTGAAGTATTTTGTGATGTATCTAACACATCAGAATATTTTTTTAGTGCGTCCAGTACCATGAAGTACTTCTTTTATCTTAGTGCTGCATGCTCCAAAAAATATTTTAAGTTGTTGGATGCACTTAAACAAAATATTTTAAAGTGCTAAATGCACCAAAAAATGCTTCAAGGTGCTGGATGCACTTAAAAAAATACTTCAATATGCTGAATACACTATAAAATATTTTAGAGTACTGGATACACTTGAAAAAATAATTCGAAATGCTGAATGCACCTTAATCTTTTTAAAAATCATATTAAACCGGAGGAGACACTCTCTTAAGATTATTAATATGGCTATTGTCAACACACAATCTAGAACTGGTACATTAGTATAATAAAGCTTTTCCACATGACCATCATAATAGCCTCCATTTTTTAGGTTCACATGTACGGATGAAAATAGGTTGGCCCCTATTAAGGCTTATAGCCTAGCCTGATTAGGACCTGATATGGCCTGGCCTGTTTAGCAAAGAGGTCAGGCCTAAGGCCTATTTAGAATCCTTTTAAAGTAAATAAGTTAGGCTTTTAGATTCAAAGTCTGGCTTGATTGATGTTTTAAAACTTATTTTATTAATATATATTAAAATATGTAGGCTTCTAAATGTACTAAAAGCCTATATTTGTGTAAACTTTAGTAGGCTTCAAAGTTTGAAACATGAGGCCTTCTTAAAAGCCTACAATGTAAGTAGGACTCTAAAAAGGTAGGGCTCTAAAAAGGTTTCAAGGACACTGAGCCTTTCGAAGGCCCAGGCTTGGGCCGAAGAAAAAGCTGGTATGCAGGTTCAGCCTCAAGCTCAGGTTTTAAACTCTCGTTACAAGATTACGCCTATTTGACCAAAACTTAACCTGGCCTGTTTTCATCCCTCTTCACATGTAGTGTTTTTGAGCAACAAGAAAAAAAATTAGAGCCTGACCTTAATGTTAAGATAAAGCATTTTATAAATCTTTTTAGATTGATTTATTACATGCAAATAGAAATGTTTCAATAACATTGATTGTCAAAGGTAGGAAGCAATATTCTTTCTTTAATACAGCAGCGAAAATGCATTGGGAGAAGCAAGCATAAAGTTGAAAGGCTAACATAAACAAGTGCTTATTAAGATTAGACATTTTTAAGACATGTTCTAGAAATTCCACAAATTTTTGTGGAGGATAAAATTGAACTTTTGTTTTGTAATATGATAACATTAAAATAGTGTCATTATCTTGGTTGGTTAGATAATAACAAGCCACTGTTTAGGTGATATAAATAATCAATGTTGCTTTATTATTTAATGGTCTTTCGTAAAATCTCACTCAAATGAATTTTAATGGGTTAATGTGTAAATTTGTTTTGAAAAATTTCATTCAGGAGTGCTAAGTATAATTGGAATTTTTTCAGGTGCAAATTTTCCTTAGAAGTTTAAGAGCTTTATTTTATTAAAAAACTAACATTAACCATGAAAGTATCATGACATTGACCCTTAACATTTTTAACACTAAGGAGCAACATTGCTACTATTTTAAAGTTTTGGAGCAAATTTGCATTCAGATGTCCAGCACTCCTAATTGAAAACTTCTAAGATAAATTTGCAGCTTAACTGAACTTTAATTCTGAATACATTGATATCTATCAAAGGCTGATGGGCTATTGTCAAGATCCTTGACACAAGATAAAGGCAACTCAAACATGTGATTATTGCAACACTCCTTAGCATGCTGAGTCATAGTCCACTCAGCACTCACTAACTCCGAAACTAATTAACAAAATTTGACCTAAAGAAAAACAAAAGAAACTATAGGGATTGAATAAAAGATTATAAGAATCTAATTATAAATTGAGTAGAATTGTAAGGGATTAATTTTCCCAAAAACAAAAAACAAAAAGGAAAACCTAACAAATTAAGACTCCGTAAATAAAGTAGTGACTAACTAGTGACGTCTTAAAAATTCAATTTCTTTTTCTCTTTCCCAACTAAAAAGTCAAATTCTTGCACGGCATTTTTAATTTATGTCCACATCAAAATGATCAATGTACGAGACCTATGATTCTTAATTAATTGTCAAAAAAGAAAAGTTGATCAGTAAACTTGCCCTTACACTCATGGCAACCATAGATTAATTTTAATTTTTCTCAGAAACATTAGTTGTACATACTGAATACTTTTTTTGAACAAAAAAAACCTATATAGTTGAGTCGGAAATATTCGAAGTAAACACGTACGGAAAAATTTTAGGCATGAAAATTTATATTTAATATTAGTAATAATAATCACTAAAATAATTCTATAATGTCGAAAAATTAAATTCTGAAAATCTATAATTAGGAAGAGGAATATATAACATGCTCCATGTACTCAGTGTACCAAAATGTCCACGATAACATTATATTCCAAATTCGTAGTTATTTTGCAAACTATATAACTAGTTATATATCCTTCAGGCTTCTCCTTAGCAACAAATGCGCGTTTAGATATATATGTTTAAGTTAAATGTTTAAAAGTTATATTTTTGTTATAAAAGTACTCCTGTCCTAAATGTAAGATGGATCTCATAGTATTTACTATGAGATCCATCTTACATTTAGGATTGGAAGGAGTATTTGCAAATGAGCTATGGATATTTAGACTTTCTTTTGTTTTTTTTTTCCCTCAATATCACATCGAAAGTGTCAAAAATAAAGCAATATGACGCTAACAGTTAAAAAACTAACCTCAGGTAGAATTAAAAAAACTAACATGAGTTATTAACATCTTTTTAACAGCAACAGTAGCATTACTCTCTTTTAACATTTTTGGGTAATGTTGAGCTAAAAAATGGGTAGTGAGTGTTGGGTTTTAAAGGGACAACATGAATGTAAAGTGACAGTAGCCGAGATGAGAATGCTAAGATGGATGTGTGATCATATAGAAAAAGATAGAATTAGTAATGAAATTATACGTGGAAAAGTTGGAGTGACTGCTATTGATGAGAAAATGGTAGAAAACCGTTTGAAATGATTGGTCACGTGCAAAGAAGGCCTTTGGATGCGTTAATAAAAAAAGTCGATCAAACAGTATGGAATCCTCTAAAAAAGAATAGAGGAAGGTCAAAGACAACACTTAATAAAGTTATTGAGCGAGATCTTTTAATTAACAATATATCCAAAGATTTGGCTTCGTATAGAGCTCAACGGTGTCATGCAGTCCATGTAATCAACCCTACTTGGTGGAATAAGACTTTGTTGTTTTCATTGTTGTTGGTTAAATAAATAAAAAAACTGAGATATGCTCACAGCTTCTTTGCGGGCGATATATACTTTAGGACAAAAATAACCATTAACCCTAAGATAAATTGCGAAAAAGTTCAGTTCATCAAAACAAGTTCAATATTACCCTCCTTATGTTTAAAACGCTATAAATCATTTTAGCGAGCAGACGACATGTTTCTTTCCCTTTTGTCTTTTAAAAAAGGTGCAATGTCGATAACAAGTCAGACAATAGAAGATGTTCTTTGTTTTTTTGGGGAAAATTATAGTAGAGTGCGCAAAAGGATAAATCTTATACATAAAAATGTATATAAATTATAAATCATACAAATATAAAATTTTTAAACTAAATAATATTACTATTTTTATACTATGTTACTAATGGAAGTGAGTATAGATTTTCTTACTTGTGGGCAAAATTTAATCTAAAGGAGGGGAGAGAATATAATCATTTTTCTTAAAATATGGGCTTTAAAATGTAGTTTTGAGCACAAAAAGATTAAAAAGAAGACAGAAGAAAGTGGAAAGGAAGTGGTAGTAAAGTCCATGGCGAAGGTGGAAGTCGGTGACTGTGAAAGTAGTACCGAATCCACCGGTTGGTCACTTCCCATTTTCCACTAAATTTCTAAAATTTAGTTAGACCCCATAAATGAATTGCCCACAACGTTGTCCCAAACATAACAAAGAAGTTTCACTCTTTTCTGTTCTCAAACATTTCTTCCTTTTTTTAGTATTTTAACTGTGCAAGTTTCTCTCGTCCATTGCCTTGTTGTCAGATAATCTATTATTTGTGCTCCTTGGCCACTTGAACCTATACACTTTTGGCTTCCCAATCATGATGATAGATGGCTTGACTTTAGGATTGAAATTATTTTTTGGTTATGCAATTATCATGGTTAATATTTTAATGGTACTTTTTGTAATATATGACTTGCCAATGTAAATGGCCATTTTTGTTTAGTTCGTAGGCAATGTATATTTGTATGTGACAACCTTGTTTTACGCACTTCCTTAGTTAAGCTGTATCAAGTTCATAGCAAGGCAATGGCAACCTATAAGGTGCAGTAAACGATAAGCTTCCGACAAGTCAATGACAACTTTGAGTGGTGAAAATAGCAACAGATAACTAATTGTAATAAATTGACACTAGTTTAAAAAATAGATTACAATCTCATTACTCAACTGATATAAAGTGATAGACTAAATCATTTTTAGTGTATGTAATTATTTTTTGCACCCTAACTTGTCATGTCTTGTTTTTATTTTTTGTACTAATTATGACCTTCTTCAACGTGGGTCGTAGTGTAGATTGCTGAGCAAAGCAAACCGACTTTCTTCTGTTCATGGTTCATGTGTGGATCTTTTGTTTGTTGACTATTGTTGTTTCTTGACTGAATTTAGACTCAGATGGCAGAATCATTAATTAATACACAGAGACATTAACAGGGAGATCCCTAATGACCAAAAGGCATGGCCTCTCAAGAGTGCTCAGGTGGAGCTCCAGTGACCACTTATCTCAAACTACAGATTTATCCTCCAATTACTTGCAACAACAACACTTGTGAATCTTAATTACTACTCTCTGTTCAGTTGTGAAGGTTGTTCTTATTGTCTTTACTTTCTTTTTGCTTACTATTTTTCAAGTTGCTTCTGTTTATGTAATTATTCCTCTATTGTCAGACTTCTTTTAACCTTATTTAGTTTCACTTTCAGGGACCATTTGTCAGATTGCAAGTACACATCCTGTGCTTTTCATTCTTGATGGCGTTTTACAAATTTCATTACATTCCCTCATCCAATAAACAGTTTGAGTTTTGGTTCTTTTCACCATTTTTGTTGGGACTCAGCTTAATTACTTGACAATTGTTTAATACAATTGCTAAGCTTTATATGACTTAATAATCCTATAAGTCAATAACAATAGGTACTTGCTTTAATAATTAATAGTAAATAGTAAATATCTTTATTATCTTTCATTTGACGGTTGTTGTCACTGTCACCTAATCAAAAAAATTTTAACAAACTGAAAAATCAAACCTATATGATAGTTATTTATTTAACCACAGATATTTTATCGATCAGTAACAATCAATTAACTACTCCATCAACTTCCACCTCAATTTATACCAGGCTATTCTATTCAATCAAGTTTTAAAGGCGCCAGAAAAACTCATTTTTATAGCAATGTTTTTGTTTCTTTGTTTTTTGTCTGAATAGGGGACTCTTTACATACATGCATACAAACATACATACCTACCTACCTACGTACACACACACATATTATTTGTGTAACTCCTGGTTGCATTCTAAATAAAACTTGATAGGTGAAAGATGAGGTGACTGTAGAAGTCAGAAAAATGATTCAAGATGGTGGAGATGGTCATTTGTTACCAGGCTGTTGTATTTACAGGGTGCCTTTTAGGCTTTGTCATCTTAAAGAAGAGGCTTATACACCAAAAGTTGTTTCGATTGGCCCCTTTCATTATGGTAATGAAAAGCTGCAAGACAGGGACAGGCATAAACAAATATTGTTCAAAAGATTCACTTAGAGCTATCTCAAGCTTGGACGATTTGGTTTGTCTGGCTAAACATCTAGAGCCAAAAGTCCGTGCTTCTTATTCAGAGACCATAAACTTTACCGAGCAAGAACTTGTGAAACTAATATTGATGGATGCTGGCTTTATCATTGAACCGTTCATTATGTCCTTAGAGGTGGACAAGTTATACAACGTCACAAAAATGGTTATATATTAGCAGTCTAAGTTGTTATTGACTTGCCGAGAACTTGCTATTTCTTGCATGAAGTTTTCATTATCTAGCTATAAACTTGCCATTTGAGAGAGCGCAACTTGCCATTAATCTTTGGCAACTTGTCAATATCATATGACAAAGTTTTCATTAACATGAAACAATCTTAGAATCAAATTGAACTTACTTGATTGGAAAGAAAAAGGCATAGTTAAAGAAGATCACAAAGACAGTTCTAAGATGCGATTGAAGGCTCGTCATCGGCGGAGGCAAACAAGAAGGAAGACAAAAGCAGTGAGGAGCAGGAGTTTAATTTGCCCAATTTAGTAATTGCACAAATAAACTTGTTCACAATCAGGTTCCAAGGGATTAAGAATTACTCCCCCATTCTTTTTCGCGATCAGATTGTCATGTGGGATTACAAAAGTAGTTTTCTTCTTTTTTTGTTTTTAACTTTTTTAATGGATGTGCTAATTATGGCCTTCTTCAACGTGGGTCGTACCGTAGATTGCGGAGCCGACTTTCTTCTGTTCATGGTTCACGTGTGGATCTTTTGTTTCTTGACTACAGTTGTTTGTTGACTGATGAGTTTAGACTCAGATAGCAGAATCATTAATTAATACACAGAGACATTAACGGGGAGATCCCTAGTGACCTCTCAGAGTGCTCGGCAAATGGTGGAGCTCCAGCCACCATTTATCTCATCTCAGCCTACAAATTTATCCTCCAATTACCTGCAACAACAACACGTACGCATCTTAATTACTACTCTCTCTTCAGTTGTGAAGTCTTTTCTTATTGTCTTTACTTTCTTTTTGCTTACAACTTTTCAGGCTCCTTCTGTTTATGTAATTAATTCCTCTATAATTAGACTCTTTTTTTTAGCCTTATTTAGTTTCACTTTCAAATACCACATGTCAGATTGCAAGTACACATCCTATGCTTTTCATTCTTGATATATGGCTTTTCCAAATTTTATCACATTCCCTCATCAAATAAACAGTTTGAGTTTTGGTTCCCTTCTTTTCACCGCTTTGGCTGAGACTTAGGTTCTTTGACAATTGTTCAATACAGTTGACAAGTTTTATATGACTTAATGATGCAATAAGTAGTCAATAACAATAGTTATTACTTGTTTTAATAATTAATAGTAAATAGTAAATATCTTTACTATATTTCATTTGATTGTTGTTGTCAATGTCACCTAATCAAAAAAATTTTAACAAACAAGAAAATCGAACCTATATGATAGTTATTTATTGAACCACAAACATTTTGTCGATCAAATTAGTAACAGTCACTTGACTACTCCACCATCTTCCACCTCAATTTATACCAAGCTTTTTTATTCAATCAAGTTTTAATGGCGTCCAAAAAAGCTCATTTTTGTAGCAGTGTTTTTCTTTGTTCTCTTTTTTTCCCTGAATAGGGAACTCTTTAGGCAGGTACACACATACATATAGACTGCTTGTCTAAATTCTGGTTGCATTCTAAATAAAACATGATAGGCAGAAGATGAGGTGACTATAGAAATCAGAGAAATGATTCAAGATTGCGGCGATGGTCATTTGTTACCAAGCTGTTGTATTTACTGGGTGCCTATTAGGCTTCGTCATCTTAAACCAGAGTCTTATACGCCAAAAGTTGTTTTGATTGGCCCCTTTCAATATGGTAATGAAAGGTTGCAAGGCATGGAAAGGCATAAACAAATATTGTTCAAAGGATTTAGTCAAAGAGCTATCTCAAGCTTGGATGATTTGGTTCATCTTGCTAAACATTTAGAGCCAAAAGTCCGTGCTTCATATTCAGAAAGCATAAACTTTACTGAGCAAGAACTTGTGAAACTGACATTAATGGATGCCGGCTTTATCATTGAACTCTTCATTATGTCCTATGAGATGGATGAGTTGCACAACGATGCTAAATTGTCACTGAAATGGTTACTGGGTTCTATACTTCATGATTTGCTTTTATTTCAGAATCAACTTCCATTCTTTGTTATTGAAGAGTTGTTCAATAAATCTTTCCCTCTAACCGTCGTAGTTGTTTGCCCCGCAAGTACATGGGTCGTGACAAGTAATAAAATGATAAGAAAAGATCGTTCCCACTGAGATTTGTGCAAAAATCAAGACCAAACAAAAGGCTACGTGAATTTAATTAAGTTGAGCCAACCAATTCATTTGATGGGAAAAGTGAATTTTAAACGCAACTTTTAAAACTAGAAAGTAATAAAAGTGATTGATTATTAAACTTCAAGGGATAAAAGGACCCAGGATTATTCATCCCCCTTGTACTTCATAACCTTTGAATTACCTCCTCTCATAAATGTTCTTAATGAAAAAATGTGTTAGTCTAAGATTCAAAAAGTACTTTAAAAGCTTTCTCAAGTCAAGCACAAGTATTTAATTTCATTAATTTCTCAATCTCTTGTTACAATTAATGAAACCCAATTTTTAAGCTTCAATCCTAAAGTGACTATGCAAGGTTGGTAAGTATATCTCTATCTTACCAACAAAACTATCCATTCAATAAGCAAACTTTAAATTCTTGCATACCCAAGTTCTACACTTAACCTAACATTCTCAAGTATCAATCAAATGAACAAATCTACTAAATGGTGATCAAGCATTTAGAAGCATTAAGAAAAGAGTAAAATAAATATATATATCATTAATCCCAAAAAGAGAGGAGTAATCAAGAGTTAATCCATACAAGGGTTCAAAATAATCCTAGAACAAAGTATTTAGCTACTCATAGTCAGCCACAAGCTATAAATATAAAAGAAATTCATAACCATAACAGATTACAAGAGAGGGAATGGAGGAGAAATAGAAAAACCAAGAAGAAGAAGCTCTAAATCTCTTCCAAAGCTCAATCCCTTGCTTCCAACTCTTCAAACACCCAAACCCTAGCACACAAAGCTCCCAAGAATGCCCAAAGAGTCCAGAATACCATCCAAGGTCGAAAATGTGATCTTAAAACCTAAAATTTTCGGGCTTAGTTGAGCTGTGCGTTTTGCTATCAGCAAGTGCGCCGCAGCCTAAATTTTCTGCGCTGCGGCCAACTTTGCCTCTGTTTCAGTTGGGCTGCAACCAAGTCAGAGTGCGCTACCGCTCACTTTGCTTCTGGAAAATTAAACTCTTCTACATCAAACAAGGATCTCTACCAATATTGTGGCTTCTAATGATTCTTCTTTGTTGTCGTAATGCCTTCATGACACAACCTAGATCCTCAAACTCTTTGAAACACTTCCAAAGTGGCTTGACATATAACTTTTGGATCAAAATATACCTTGCAAAAGAATAACTCTATAAGCTCCTAAATAGCAAAGATTAAAACCAAAATATGCACACTTAGGCAATAATGTGCAAACCAAAAACATCATGCACATTTTCCTTTCCTTGAGTATGAAAGTAAACACTAATGCACCAAAAAGTATCAAAAGCTTAAGAAAAATGTGTCGAAATGACATGAAGATCTAGAGGTTAACAGTAGTAGCCTCCCTGCTTCATTTCTTAGGCTTACGTATGAATATTTTCGGTATTCTAATATACAAAAATTAGAATCTAACCCTGATATTAAGATAAACCATTTTACAGATCTTCTTAGATTGTTTTACTAACAAAGAAAAATTTCTCAATGACATTCATTCTCAGAGGAGGTTAGAAGCTGTATTCTTTCATGAAATGCAAATGCATTGGAAAAGGCAGGCATAAAGTTGAAGGCTAACAAGAGCAAATGCTTATTGGCCTTGAAATTTTCAAGACAAGTTCTTAAAATTCCCCAAACTTCGGTGGATGATGAAACTGAGCTCTTGTTTCATAATATGATAGCATTAGAACAATGTCATTATCCTTATAAGTCTTACATTACTAACTATGCTATTATATTAGATCGTCTAATAGACACATATAAAGATGCAGATCTTCTCATTCGCAACAAAATCATCAACAACCATTTAGGTCATTCCAATAAAGTTGCTTTATTATTTAATGGACTTTGGGAATGTCACTCAATTGAATTTCAATTGTGAATACCTTGATATGTGCCAAAGGTTGAGTGGGTATTGTGAAGATCGTTGGCACAAGATGAAGCCAACTCTAAGACGTGATTATTGCAACACTCCTTGGCTTACTGTGTCCTCTATTGTCAGAACCATCCTACTTGTTCTCACCATTGCTCAAACCTTCTTTTCAGCCCTACAAGTTGTATTGAGCAAGTGGATTTAAAGTTTATTGTATACTTAATTTGAAATGTTTCATTATTTAGATTAATGTTGTTATTGTGTTATTGTAACATTTATATTTGGCTTTCTGATGACAGGTCAATCTAAATAAGCATATAAAAGTTGTAGGATTGGACTTAAGAAATTTTGTTTTTTTTTAAAAAAAATAATATGGGTGCGGGTACTACTAGTAAGATGGATGATGATAAGCGTGTTAATTAAGGTGGGTAATGTTAATGTCTTCCTCTTAGAACAACAATAATGTGGGTAATAATGTCAAAAATTCAAAATTTTGAAGATAGTTCTGAAAAAATTATTCAAATTGTTGACAAATTCAATGTCACTAATTAAATCATCTAACTTTCTTAATTTTGACTAATTTTATGAGTGTGAGATAAGACATTGGAAGAACCCTATAGGGTTGGGGGACTGTGGAACCAAAGTGCACGTAGCCACTTAACTAAGGTCTCTCAGGTATGGATAATCAAGAAAAATGAATCCAATACAAGTGGGACATTAGATCTGTCAAGGAACCAGCCCCAAAAATAATACCACTTTTTTTTTTTTACATTGAATGAGACAAAACTCTCTGCATATTTGTCTTTTACATCAAGAAAAAAAAAAAGGTGCAAGTTTAAACGGGTTGACACTTTACAGACTCAAGCCTACTAAAAGCCCACTTATTCTAAAATCTTGTTTTCTTAAGCCCAACCCTTAATTTAAGAGGACCGAGCCTGTTTTGCCGGCTCTGCACACCCCACAATAATTGGAGTGCCGCGGCTTCATCATTCAGAGGATAAGTCAGTTGGCACAACCATCGACTTCCCGACGTTTGGTGATCGAATCAATCACGCATTGAATGTCCCAAACTTGTTTCATCAAGTTGATTAGTGGGTGATATACTAGGAATGTTGGCAATTGACAGTTTTAATTCTTCAATAGAGTTACTGGAAAACGTAATTCTTATGTGTCCTTGGTTCTAGCAAATTAAATCTTTAAACCTTTTAAAATTCCCATAACCAACCTTTAAAACCTCCGCAGTTGTGAGAGGCATGTAACCAAGTTTTTTCGTGGAACCTGTGATGCAATTTCCGTCTTCATCTTGACGAAGGTCCCCACAATTAACTTTTTTTTCCATTTTGTGTGCGTTACTTCATGTTTAGGACGTCCTTCATAGGCTGGAGCTCGATGTTTTTATTGATTCTTTGAGAGCTTTTGTAAAGGCAATATCTCTATCAATAGCCAAATTAATTACCTGAACAAATTAAAGAGCCTTTGCCAAGGAATTGCTTTGATACACTTTGATGATCTGCTAATATATTTAAGCTTCATATATAGAACCTAATTCTGCATAGGCAAAAAAGAAAAGGATATTGAGTTTAGATTGTTTGACCAATAAGCTGCAATAGGTTTCCGCTAGGACGATATGCACTTCAAGTCTGTTTCTTTTTTATTAGACCTTTAGTTTAATTTGCTGCTTAATAATGCTTTTTCATTCTTCTTATGCTTAAACTTTACTTTCTTGTGTTTCTACCTTGAGTCCACGTTAGGCAATTAAACTATAATTTCCCCATCACAAGTTAATTACAACCTTTTTAAAAATTCTGTACCTCTCTTTTCTGTTTTTTTTTTTTTAATAATTTTTGTATAAACACTTGATGGTCGTGTGACATGTAATTGCTGAACTAAACGTAGTATGAATGCTCTTTCTTTTAATCAGGTTTGAATCCTAGAGCTTATTCAAGAGAATATATTAGAAAATTGTTTAACGTGGTTTGGACATATACAAGAAAAAAGTCACTGATGGAGCTGGTTGAGGGAATGGATCAGACAATATCAAATCTTTTGGTTAACAATTTAGCTACTGCTTTCATTGCTGATAGAGGATAATAGCGCCGTGCAATCTATAATAACCAAGCCTACTTGTAAATTAAGACTTGTTATTGTTGTTAAATCCTCTCACTATATGGTAAACAAAAGTGTAGTAGGAAAAAGAGTTAAATAATTAGTGAAATTAGTGTATAAGACTGTTTTTATTTATTCTTAATGTTTTTATCTTTTGTATAATACTATAAGTAATAAATTATTTAATTCAGAGATAATAGAACTAGAATTTGATAGGGCCATTATTTAAGAAATCTCAAATTCTAGTCATATATAAACGAAAACAATAAATACTTGACAAGTTAAAATTAATGTTTTATCAGATTCCGTTTTTACATGTGCAAAGATAAACAAAGAGAAGTCCAAAATTAAGTTAAGATATTACAACATGTTTTTTATCAGATCTACTCGGTCAAGATTTTGAAATGTTTCATTATTGACATTAATGCTGCTATTGTGTTATTGTAACATATGTTTGATTAAAGTCATATTAATCAATTATATCCGTAGTTGTGATGATAGACCAATCCAAATAAGCATGTAAAAGTTGTAGGATTGGACTTAAGATATTATGTATTTTTTCAGAATGACATGGGTGCTAGTACTATGCTAGTAGAATGGATGATAATAAGCGTGTTACTTAAGGTGGGTAATCTTAATGTCTTCCTCTTAGAAGAACAATAAGGTGGGCAATAATGTTAAATATTCAAAATTTTGTAGTTCTGAAAAATTATTCAAATTTTTTACAAATGCAATGTCACTAATTAAATAAGCTAACTTTCTTAATTTTAGCTAATTTTATGAGCGTGAGATAGATGTTGGAACCTTGTGGCAACATACGGAGATGAAATGGAGGGACAATGGAACCAAAGTGCACGTAGGCCACTCAACTAAGCTAATGGGCCCAACCTCTAGGGGAAGCCCACAACAGAATCATAATTCATATGGATTGGGTCTCTCAGGTATGGATACAAGTGGGACATTAGATCCATCAGAGAAGCAATCTTATGTATCAAAAAAAAAAAAAGAGAAGCAATCTTAAAAATAAAATCACTTTTACATTCATACGAGACAAAATTCTGCGGATATTTATTTTCTATAGAGAAGTTAAAAAAACAAAGTATGGAGGTTTAAATAGGTCCATCCTTGATGGACTCAAGCCTGAAAGCTCATTTATTCTAAAATTATGTGTTTTAAGCGAGACCGTTAATTTAAGAGAGCTGAGCTTGTTTTGCTGGTTGTGCACACCCTACAATAGGGGTGCTACAACTTTATCATTCAGAAGATATCTGTGAGCATAAGTCAAGTAGGACAACCATAGATTTCCCTAGATATCTGTTTGGTGATAGGGTGATCCAATCAATCACGCATTGTATGTCCCAAACTTCTTTCATCAAGTTGATTAGTGGGTGATATACTAGAAGTGTTCGCAATTGATAAGTTTTAATTCCTTAATAGAGTTACCGAGAAACGTGATTTTTATGTGTCCTTTGTTCTAGCAAATCTTTAAACCTTTCAAAATTTCCATAAGCAGCCTTTAAAAACTCCGCAGTTGTGAGAGGCATGTAACCAAGCTTTATGGTGGAACCTGTGATGCAATTTCCATTTTCATCTTGAAGAAGGTCACCACACTGAGCTTAACTTTTTGTTCCATTTTGTGTATGTTACTTCAGGTTTATTACATCCTTCATAGGCTGGAGCTTGATGTTTTCATTGATTCTTTGAGAGCTTTTGTAAAGGCAATATCTCTATCAGTAGTCAAATTAATTACTTGAGCAAACTAAAGAGCCTTGCCAAGGAATTGCTTTGATATACTTTGATGATCTGCTCATATATTCAAGCTTAATAGAATCTAATTCTGCATAGGCCAAAAAGAAAAGGATATTGAGTTTAGATTGTTTGACCAATAAGCCGCAACAGGTTTCTGCTAGGACGATATGCACTTTAAGTCTTTAAACTTTGCTTTCTTGTGTTTCTACCTTGAGTCCACTTTAGGCAATTAAACTATAGTTTCCCCATCACAAGTTGATTACAAACTTTTTAAAAAATTTGTACCTCTCTTTCCTGGTTTCTAATAATTTTTTTATAAGCACCTGATGGTCGTGTTACACGTAATTGCTAAACTAAACGTAGCATGAATGCGCTTTCTTTTAATCAGGTTTGAATCCTAGAGCTTATTCAAGAGAATACGTTAGAAAATTGTTTCACGTGCTTTGGACACGTACCCAAAAAAACAAAAAAGTCACTGACAGAGTCGGTTAAAAGGACGTACGGATCAAATAATATCAAGTCCTTTGGTTAACAATTTAATTAGCTACTATTTTGTTGCTGATAGAACATAATAAAGCATATATAATAGTATCGTGCAATCTATAATAACCAAGCCCACCTATAAAATAAGACTTGTTATTGTTGTTAAATCCTCTCACTATATAGTAAACAATAAGTGTAGTAGGAAAAAGAGTTAGAAATAATTGGTGAAATTAGTGTATAAGACTGTTTTTATTTATTCTTAATGTTTTTATCTTTTGTATAATACTATAAGTAATAAATTATTTAATTCAGAGATAATACAATTAGAATTTTATAGGGCCATTATTTAAGAAATCACAAATTCTAGTCATATATAAACGAAAACAATAAATACTTTGTAAGTTAAAATTAATGTTTTATCAGATTCCGTTTTTACATGTGTAAAGATAAACAAAGAGAAGTACAAAATTAAATTAAGATAGTACAACCGATCTATCACGGAATCAAACTTCAAGTATAATTTACCTGATTATTTCACTCATTCAAGAAATTTATACACTAAACCAAAATACCCTCAAAGTTTAGCTTGTTGTGCTATCGATTTTTACTTTTCTAAATATCCTCATAAATCTTTCTCAAGAGAATTACTTTTCCTTGCATCGTACGTAATTATATCATCAAGAGGAGAAGCAAAGAATAGAAATCACCGTTGTACCGCATATTCCACAATTTGTTGAAGAAAACATTATTACAACCAATATAAAATACTACAATTAATCGCTTTTTATAAAAAAGAAAAACTACAATTTCTATCTTATCCCTATTTATAAAAAAAACGTTTTTCAGATATCTCAATTTTTTTCGTTAGTTTCCTATTTTATCCCCATTAATTACTCATTTTAATACTTAGTATATAGATTTATTATCTCATTTATCAGAACACCATTCTTTTTATTTTAGTAATTTCCTTAAACTTATAATTTTTATATATGTATAGTCTTTAACCCGTTTTAACTAATTTTTTTATCCATATGATTTGGTTAAATATTTCCTACAAAAAGGAGTATGAAAGATTAGAAAAATACAATATAATATAATAACATAAAAAATTGTAAAATATGAAATGAAAAAAAATACATAAAACCCGTCCAAATAAACGAAATCAAAAAATTAATCATGAACCATAAACCAAAAATGGCTTTTCAAAGTACGCACGAAAATATTTCAAATATCTTTGTTCAGAATATTCCTTCCTTGCAACGTAATAAAAATATTTATTTTCTAAAAAAAAAAAAAGGAAGAGCACTTGCAGTTTATAGAGGGACATATCAAAAGTAAAGACTATATATAGTGGAACCTCAACAATTGAACATCAGAAACACAGTCGTTGCATAATCTCCCATCAAAACTCCTCCCATTCGCTTGGAAGATCACAAGGTATTCTCATTCAGTAGCGAATTATTTTCCTTATTTTGTTCACTTTCCTTTAACTTTGGTTATAGCTTGTCAGATTTCAAATGCAAGATTAATTAATTCGTAAATTATTAGCCTTTCAACCATTTTTAAGTTCAACTTTTATGAAATTAAAAATCAGTCCTTAAAAAGAAATTTATTACAGCTTAACTTTTAAATTTCAAGTAGGCATATCCTTCATTAGTAATTTGTTTAATTACTTTTCCATGGTAAAAAACCCTATTTATTCTCTAGTTCTTTGTTTCTAACCATTATTATCAAACTTACGAGTTGACTCCCAAAATTTATCATTTTTATATTTATAGCTTACAAAATTGTGTTAATTCACACCCTAACTCATACTAGCCATAAATTGAATTAAACTCACAAGTTAACCACTTTATGAGTTTATCATTTTCATTGAGTTAAGCCAATTAAACATGTATTGAATAGAACTTGATTTACAAAATATGTAGAAAGCCTAAAGAAAAAAAAGAAACCATAAAAGAGAAACTAATATTAAAACAAGTTTTGAATTTCATAAATATTTATGCTGAGTATGATAAATTATGAATATTGATGGATTTGATTTCAATGACTTAATACTTTTTCGTTATATTCTTTATCTTTAAGTAGTTTCTCTCCATGAGACTCCTATATTGAACTTATGTTTCGAATATTTTATATTTTAATTTATAATACAATTGCTTTTTATTTTAAAAAAATTGAATAATTTAAAATTGAAATATATTTAAACAATTGTCATTTTTTTTGTATTCTAATCATTTAATTATGTGCTTTCAATGACTATTTATTGACAAAAGTAAATTATTACAAGTTTGCATAAACTCATGACTTTGACACCCTTCCTTCTAACTTGAAATACTGCTAGTAATCTTAAGTGCTTCATCTCATAGAGTTTCTTATCCCTATCATAGTCGATATAATAGCATTTGACTAATAATTAGTTTTAATTGGCCTAAATATATAACATTTACCCCAAATTATCACGTGTACAGCATCCTGCAGGAAGAGCACACAAAGCTCTGTGGAAGATGGCCAACATAAAGATAGACATGATGGTCTCTGAGATTTCTCAAGAAACGTTGGAACAATCAGCAGTATTCATACATCCTGTACGATCCCATTTCTTTCTTTCTTTCCTTAGTTATTTCGTTTAATTACTATTTTAAGCATATATATATATATATTGCCCATGTAATTTCTAGCTGATTGCTTTCTAAATCGAACCTGCCAGATGATGGAAGCTAAGGTGATAAATGATGTTAAAGCAATGATACAAGATACTAATGAAGATGAGATCCTATCATCATCACGAAAATGTTGTATCTACAGGGTGCCCCTTACCATGCGTGACCCAAATAATGAAGATGCTTATTATTATACCCCAAAGGTTGTTTCCATTGGTCCCTTTCATTACGGCAACGAGAAGCTAAGAGGCATGGAGAAGAACAAACGAATGTTCTTCAAAAGGTTCGTGGACCAATCTGAGACAGGCAAAGATTTAGTCAGGTTTGTCATGCGCTGGGAGTCACTGGTTCGGGCGTCTTACTCTGATGAGATCAATCTGGACGTGACGGAATTTGTGACGTTGATATTAGCGGATGCTGCTTTCATCATTGAACTCTTCATGATTGAGAATGTCATCAGAGATAAGAAGGCTCGCCAAGATGATAAAAGAAAAGCACGAGCGTTGTTGGAGCATTGGTGGCTGGAAGCTGCTACTAAGCATTTGATTTTACTTGAGAATCAACTTCCGTTCTTTATTATTGAAGGGCTATACAAGGCAGTTTTTCCCTCTGCCCCATCAGAAAGAAATAGCAACAATATGATCCCTTTATTTCGCGAGATCACATTTGCCTTCTTTTGGTCAAAGAAGTTCCACGTGGAACTGACTTTGGTAAGGTAAAGCACTTCACAGATCTACTTAGGTCGTTTTTCTTATCAGGAACAAAAACATTGATCATATTGGGGAATCACAATTCATAGAGGATCCACGTGATCTTCTTTTATACAGTGCCACCGAGTTGCAAGCAGCAGGAGTAAAGTTGAAGGCAAAAAAAGGCAAGAGCTTACTTGAATTGAACTTTTCAAGGCCTTGTTTTGAGATCCCAGAGATTTTCTCGGAAGACAGAACTGAGATTTTCTTTCGTAATATGATAGCTTTAGAGCAATGCCATTATCCGTTCAAATCTTACATTACGGAGTATGCTTTTATATTGGCTTGCCTAATCAATGAGCATCAAGATGTGGATCTAATCACTTATAAGAAAATCATTCACAACTTTCTAGGCAATGCCAATGATGTTGCTAATTTATTTAATGGTCTCCGTGAAAATATCATGGGGGAGCACATAATAAGTACCCATTACCATGAGATTTGCCAACGGTTGAATCGCTACTGCAAATGTGCTTGGAACAAGAGGTGCGCACATTTGAAACGTGATTATTGCAAGACGCCTTGGCATGCTATGGCTTCTGCTGCTGCTATTGTGGTCATACTTCTCAACCTTATTCAAACCATATTGGCTTTCCTCCAAATTTGACTAGATGAAGTTGAGAGAGGGGAGAGAGAGAGATTGTTCTGTGCTTGAAAGGTGTGTTCACCGTCTACACCCATAAGTTGGTTTCTTGATGATGTCCATGACTGTTGTGATCTTTGTTCATTTGTTGTTTTCATTAAACAAAGTTATGACGAGTGTGAACTTCTGTGTTTCCAAAAAAATCTTCTAAATTTAGGTTATAGAGTTCATATTCTTTCAATTTCTGCAGTAAACATTACGATAAAAACTTACTGTTTTATTCCCTCTATGTTGTTATTTATTTTTTTTTTCTTGTGTTTGAATCTTTTGATTACTGAGTTCCTTAGTGGGCTTTGAGTTTGTTTGGTTAGTGTTTAAGCATTAGAATTTTGTTATTTCTGTAACAACCTGATAATTGTGCTCATGAGATACCGTATTTTCGCTTGCTTTATTTGTTCGATATGATACAGTGTTTCCTACGGTTTTGAGGTGTGTAGAACAAAATTAATAGATATAGGTATGATGTTGAGTATGAAATTGGGCAATTGGCAAATTCCTCCATTTTCTTTTTATTTTTGTGGTTTTCAATTTTTTCCCTAATTTTTCAGATTTTTATTGCTTCAATATTTCTTGCATCTTTTTAGTTTGTATTCCCATTTCTTCTGGTCCCCTATCTTCATGTTTAGGATTACTTTGATTAATTCTCAATTTTTTGTTTAAAAAATTATGGATTGGAATGCATATCGTTATGGTTACAATTATTCTCAATATCCCTGTCCTTCCATATGTTCATCTTTATTTTAGATTATTAATTAAAAAACAAAAAAACAAAGTAAACCTGGACTATTCTGAACTTGGCCCATTAGTTTGAAGAGGTTCAAACAAGAATTACGCTTTAAAAGTCTTATTTAAAACCTTGAAAAAAAAAAAAGAATTACGCTTTAAAAGAGCATCTTAAGATGCTGACTCAGAATCCAAATACAACCTTATGTGAGATGTCCTAGCACGCATGATAATTAGCTCGAAATGTTCATACCAAAAAAAAATAAAAAAAGAAGAAAAACAAAAAACACCAATGCTTAGAGAGACAAACCTGGAAGTACAAAACGGGTAACAAGACCCAAAACCAGAAGCATATAATAGCATCCGTAGTGAGCGGGGTTGCGCCGGACTCGATCACTTGAAGAGAGTGTCCAAGTCTGATATCATCTTTCTCATCTTTCAAGCCGGCATCATTAACGGCGACATTAGCTCCTCCCCATAATCTGTGTCGCGCGGTGTAAAAGAACATGATTTTGTACTTCACCGACGTCGTAAAATTCACCCGGAAGTATGTTTTCCCGTCCACCTTCGCCGTCCCGTTAAGTGCCCCGGAATGTGTTTCAACGGAGCTCCACTTCTTCGCGTTCTTCTTGCGCCCCTGATAGAACCCGGCAATGATGGAGCTCCCAATCGGGCTGGTGATATTCCGATCAAGAAAAACACCCGACGGTGAAGTTGACGTTGTCATATCGAATCCCAGATTCCTTGTTTCCGTTATCGAACTCGACCATGAAGATTATGGCGGAGTTGGTAGTTGCATTTGAGGTTTTGTTCAGTTCAGGAGCGATGAGGGCTGCGATAGAGCATTTGGGTTCATTGGGTCGCAGACCTAACCATAGGAACAAGGCAAAGAAACCCAGACTGATTAACGAGCCGAAACAACATTTACACAAATCTCCTCCACGAGATCCAGCAGCCGTTCGCGCTGTCCCGCCTCTCATCATCGCCATTTTCTGACCGGCAGCTTGAATGGTACTTCAAGCAAGAAGCTAAGTGAGTGGCGAGAGGCAGTGTAATTATTGTACAACTACGCAATGAATGTAAAGGAAAGTGGCGAGTATTGTTAACGAGGGAATGAAAGCTGTGATTAGTTTATAATTAGATCATATTTACATTATTGATTGCTTTCTACAATTGAGTGTTCGGTTAGGCTACTTTTACTTGTGGTTCGGATTTGATTAATTAAAAAATTATGGAGATGCACAGACCATCACCATTATTTTTTATTTTATTGAATGATAGCGGTTTTTAAATGGTCAATGTTGATGGCAACGTTCAGAAAATTGGGTCTGAAGAAGTTTCTTAGAAAATGCTGATACACTAGAGATTCGTGATAACGGACAGTTTATTTAATTTTGTTTTGTCAGTGTTTATGTTGTTGTTTCTTTCATTTTGTCTGTTTTTATCTAGATTTTCGTTTTGTACCGTAGACCTTTTAGTTTAATAAAATCTCTTTCTATTGTAGACTTATAAATATATATATATATATATATATATATAATATGTACCTGCCCAGGAACAACATGCTCACGTGTTATCTCCAGTTTTTCTCTAGCATTTGGCATTTTGTCGTTAGGCTATATACATATTGTCACTTGATTTTTTCCAAAAAAGCAAATAAAATAAATTAAACATATCAATATTAAACGTTGGCTGCTTCTTCTATGAATTATAGTCAAGTAGTGAAGCTGGTGTGCCAAAGGATATGAACCTCAAATTGGAATCATAGATCTGACTTTTAATCAAACAAACTACTGTGAGTATAAGTGGATATCTCTAACCAAAGTGCAGTGTGACAACTTCCGACAAAAATGACAGCTTGATAGGAAAAACTAGAGCTAGTGACATCAATGGCTGGTTTAAAATAACTATAAGCTGATTAACAATGTGCAAGCTATTTCAGCCCACACAGCCATTGCAAGCTGGCCCTTTCTACGAGCCCTAACTTTAAGAAAAGACAACATATCTAATGTCTCACTCAGTTTGTTTGAAATGCATATGTTATGTTGGCAAAAAAAAAAAAAGAAATGCATATGTTATCGTGTAATACAACATTGAAATTTATCTAGCCGTATGCCTCTAACGAATTCCAATATTCATTGAGAAATTAAAATTTTTAAATATAATAGGTTTGAGTATCAAATAATTTAATCACATCATGCATTAAGTCCTTCGTTTCCAGTGACGGGTCGTAAAATATAACGGGGTAGGTAGGTTTAGATTGGATTTAAATATATGACCACCATAGAAATACGTGAAGGTACCCTCTAGTTTTAAACTATTGATTGAGATCCATATTTTAATTTGGATATTAAATATGATTTTAGATCGTTACATTAAAGGTGAAGTTTATGTAAAAAAGTTAATGTAACTTTTGGTCCTAAAATTTGGGTTTATTTTGATTTTGGTTCCTTCAATTTTAAATTTATAATTCTAGTCCCTGAATTAGAATCCAACTTATAACATTAGTCCTCGAAGATATAATGATGTCCTCGAAGATATAATGATGTTAAAATCTGTTAAAATGTTGTAAATAACATTAAAGTGATAATATGAATGCATCAGATAATATTTAGTTGGATATTATATGAATAATACAGTGAAGAAGAAAAAGAATATGTCTCAAAAACACAACTGTTTAGCTTCTTTTTTTATCTCTAGCAACTTGTTTGATGGAGTTGTTCATATTTTGAGAACCTATCCCCTTTCGTATCATTATTATGTTATCATCGTAAGATCCAGTTAGATGTCATCTGGTAAATCCACATTATCAATTTAATATCATTCCTGATACTTTAGCGGTTTTTAATAGTGTTTCAGCTCTAGGGACCACCATTTTAAAATTAACTAAATTCTAGAAACTAAAACCACATGTTTGAAATTTGAGGGACCAAAATCAAAATAGATCTAAATTTTAGGAACAAAAATTATATTAATTCTTAATTCTTAATTAAATTATCGACTTGAACACTATGCGTAAACGTTAAAAATGATGTTTGTGGCACCCAAGTTGCCAAAATATTTACTGAACAATAACAACAAAGAAAAACTAATTTACTGGTGCTTATTATTTTACCGGTCCTTTTATATATATATATATATATATATATTTTCCTTTTATTGAGTCCTTATTGTATGCTTGGTTTTTATGAGAGTAGTTTATGCTAGCGTGGCACACATCTTCTTGCTCATCTTCCTCGCCCCAAAAAAATTCCAGTCTCCTTTAATGCACACTCTGTTATTTCCCTCTCCATCATCGCCCTCTTCTTGCTTGCCTTTCTGAACCAAACCCCCACTCTCCTTCTTTCTCGCTCCCCTTCAATTCCCACTCTCTTTCCTTCCTTTCTCTCTCTACTATATTTTGCCCTTTGATATGTTTGTAATTCTCAGCTAAGATTTATTAACTGAAGCGTAAGTATTGGTGATATGCGGCATTAGCCTGGAGATACCACAACTACTGCCAATAGGATTTTCCTACCAATTTGGACATAGGTATTACACATGTCTGCGTAGGGTAGAGAGGGATGGCTTAAACACTAGCTAGAGAGATTATATTGGGATTCCAACTGCTTAGTCTCATTTTTTATTTTATCCACTGGATTATCTCTTTCAACCTAGTCTCAAAAGCTTAAGAGTCCCATAATTAAATACTATGCAACGGCTTAGGGATGTTCCATCCCAAACTATACAAACTCAATCAACAATTTATGTACCTAATAATTTTAGGAGAAAAGACACTAAAATACCCTAAAAAATGCTAAAGAACAAATTAGAGTAAGTGAATTTCAAAATCCCAAATCAGACCTCTTTTATTATTTTGGAATTTTGAAATATTGTGAAATGATAACATTATCCGTATTTTTAATGACTACTTTTATATAGCTATTGACTACTCTAATTTAACTATTGACTACTTTTATTTTCAAAGTTTCAATGACTAGTTTTATATAACTATGACTACATAAAAGTAGTAAATAACTAAATAAATAGTAGTCACTAGATCTCTAACAATATTTAATATATTTTTTGAAATTTTGAAACAAAAATAGTCAATAGTGACACTAGAGTAGTTAATAGCCATAAATGAGTAGTCACCAAAATTTTAAAAATGGAAGTAGTCAACCCCAATACCAGAGTAGTTAGTAGCTAAATAACAATAGTCATCAAAATTCTAAAAACAAATATAATTAATAACTAAAAAAGAGTAGAAATGTTGCCAGAGCTCCAACGGTTGGCCATTGGCAAGGTCATTGACATTGAAGCTTTGGCGGCCGGAACTGCTAAGGTGGCAATATTTTTTTAAAAAAAAGGCAAAAAAAAGTAAAAAGGCATTTATGTAATTTTATAAGATTTGAAAATTTCAAAATGGTAAAAACGGTTTAGATTAAATTTTGAAATTCATCCATGCTTATTTGTCTTTTTGCAATTTTTAAGGTATTTTATTGTCTTTTTTTCTAATTTTAAATATTTACTTGATGGCTTAACCCCTGATAGACGTATTAAAACAAAAATATTTTATAAAATAAAAACAATCCTAGTGTCTTGTGAGAGCTTTGTTGGTTAGTGAGTGATTTATAAATACCTTTATAAGCATTTTCTGAATTTGGAAGCATTCTCTAACCTCAATGAGTTATGGGATCAACTCATATAAACTTTTATTCAAAAATAATAATAAGAATGGTGCGATTGATTTTGAAAAATACCGAATCTAAATAACCACATTTAATATGATCGGCTGTCATGGACTTGCAGTGAACCGTCCATTCAAAATAAAGAAAGGAGCAGTGCCACATTTAGTATATGTTCCTTACTTTCTGACTTTCAATATGCATCAGAGTCATCTTCAATGCGAAACCAGCTGGATCTACAAAATCATCTTCGTCCGAGCATTCGATAGGCTATATTACTCCTCATTCTACATGTGGGAACTATTTTTTTCTTAATCACTAGAGTGCCCTTGCACATAAATCAAATTTTCCGATGAACGCATGATACCGGTTCCTCTCTTCTTCCTTTCTTAATCAACTAAATCAAGGAAGGCTATAAATGAAGTTCCAAAAACTTTTGCATAAAAGACGAAGTGACTTATTCTCTTATCCATAAATTGTTCAACACGTAAGATAAGTCGTAAATTGATTATGATTTACAATTAATCATGTGAAATTTAAAACTCAATTCTAAATCATATTACATATTAAAATTGGTTATTGGATAGTTTACAACTCATTTCTCGTTAATTATTTATAACTCAAGCGTCGATCATAATGAGGGGTATACGATAATGACCACTCGCACACAAAATAAAGTTTAAGGGGGTATATGATGATGAGGGGTTATTCACATGGATTGAAAAGCTTATACAGGTTTGTTGTTAAATTTTAAATGTTAAAATGGTTATTTATAGATGATATAAAGTTCAGAGGAGTTCTAACTTGTGCAACTCAGTATAAAAATTATACAGTAATAAAGTTAAGGTTTGATGGATTGAAATTAGGCTTAGCTTAAGTTAAATTGCAAATCCAAAAAAAATAATTAAATAAATTGGGAACATTGTGATTGGGATTATGTGTTATTTTGTAAATTCCATGACTTCATGCTCCAAACAAACGACCAATTTCTCCTTGTTTCTAAATTGCATATGATATGATATATTGATTTATTTTAAAATTTAAACAGACCCTATATATG